TAACTAGAACTACATGTGTTGCAGAAATCTCAGAAATACAGAGACACAGAATTCGGATAAAATAATATTTCTTCTCCCAAGCAGACGGGGATGCCAGAAACCAGTCTGGTCAATATCCCCACCCCCTTTGTTCAGCATTTTCCTTTTTATATCCTTTTTAGCCATAATCTCATCCCTAGTGATCTTTGATATGTAAATACAATTCCAGTTCCTATTTACAAGTCACAGACACAAGATAGGCCATATGCATTGTAAACTCACCCTGACATGGTAACTTTGTTAGGTTAATGAAGTTACTGGTTAGTCAGATAATCCTCACCTTAAACAAGGAGTTACAGAAAAAGCAAATCTTAAAAGAACACATTACTTATTTTGCTTCTACAACTACCTTAATATTCAATCTATTAAGTTATCTAAAACTTTTCCATATCACATGGATTTCTGTTATAGTGTTATACAACTGGTTGAAATTATGAGCCTATAACAAATAACTCACTATTACAGTGAATTAATATAATTAAATGCTCATCTGAATTTTAGGCTCAATGCCAAAATACTTCAGTATTTATCTATATTTTAGTATAATATATAGTACAATAAGGCAAGGTCATTCCTTTATCCTACACCTTCCGGACTTTAGTAGAAAACAAATTTTAGATTAACTTTCTCTCTTAAACCCTAGAGAGCTGCACTCTACATTCTCCACTGGTTTTCTTGATTTTAGAGTGGGAATATTTGATCTGCCAGCAATATGAAACCATTACCAATTAATTACTCACCTATTTAACTTTACAGATAGGACATTATACTCTCAAGGAGGTTAATTTTAGCTTTTAAATTCTTTTGCCTATAATTTTATCCCCTTTACGCAGTACAGTTCTTGGAACATAGAACATCTTCAATTAATATTTGTAAAATTAATAAGGAAATGATACATTAAGACATGGGAGAAAAATAATTTTCTGGCTCTCTTGGTCGGCTTCCATAAGACATGAGCCAAGGATAAACAGCATTGTACCTGACAATGTGGAGGTTAGAATTTCTGCTGGCTGCTATATCTTCTCAGCATTATTACCTGATAACTTTAATTAATTTCCATGAGAAGTCATCTGTTAGCATCACTGAGTTTAACTGTATAATGTGCAAAGATTGTCACTGGTTAAATATTATCTGCTAAAAGGATTAGGTCAGTGAGACCTATGGAAAAAAGTCCTGCTCTGCCTTTATTCATACCAGTAATCATAGTGCACTATTTGATATTAAATGAATTGTTAGGTTTCTCCAAAATTATTACCTTTGAAGATATACAGAGGTGCCCATTTAGCACATATCATATGCCTGAGAAAGACTTGGCTGATGTAAATTTTATTATCATGGACTGTTTTGAAGGACTTTCCATAAAACTATGTCAGTGGCTCTTCTCAAAAAAAAAAAAAAAAAAAGACTTGGACAGTACAAACGGTCAGAAGAGCTTGCTATCTATCACGGCTCTCCTCAGGATGGCCGAGGTGTTCCTTTAGCTCGCTTTGTCCTCTTTGACTTGGCCCAAGCTAGTTCTTCAGAGCCAGTTTCTCTCACTCCTCACTTTCACTTTTTAAAATAAACGTTGCCACTGCTTTTTGCTCATTTTGTTCAATTCTTTGTTCAAGACAGAAGAACTTGGACTCCCAACTCCAGGAGAGGAGAGTAGCCCAGAACCCGCTAACGTTTAACGGGTGAGCCACTTTCAGAAGAAGCTACCCAGTAACATTTTGATGTAGCCACTCAGGAGAATCAAAAGCCAGGAGATTCTGATAATAGGCACACTTGTGCTCACTTGGAAAGGGCCACGTAAATTATCAGAAAGATTTTTGGATAACTAGCTTCAAAAAATAACACCCGGACCTAAAATATTCCAGGTGAGTTCTTGAATCGCCATAACAGTGCCCCTCTGATTCACTGTACTTCAGGTATTCTAAGTATTTCTCTAAGTCTCCAACCTTCTCATAGCTTTTCCACTACCTGAACTGAAAGAGCTTCTTTCAAGGAAGCATGTAACGCAACTTGGACATGCAAAGGAGTGGCTCTAGGGGTGAAGTCTAAGGCACCCTCACACTTTTAGAATCACCAACACAAAAGCAACAAGTGCTGCATTAGAGACCACAACACTTAACTTTCAATTTAACAAGAGGCCTTATCTATATAAAAATTATCACCAGATATTGACTAATGCAAGCATACAGATGGAGACTATAGCCACAAAACGATTTACAGAAAGCTGGCTTGCATCCTTGGGAAACCCAAGCAAGGGTCGCGTGAATATCATCTCTTGAAAGATACATAACAATTCAAAGTTCCCACACAGCTGTTCAGTGTGTTTGGGATCGTAACACAGGTCATGTTTTTATTTGCAGTATTTACTCTATCCTCTTCTCACTCTTAACCTACTACCTATGTATTGCACCTACATCCCAGCTCTCAGAGGTTTCCTGAGTGACACTCACGTTCCTCCTGCTTAGGACTTTGCAACACTACACTAACTACAATCTGTGACTGTCACACAAGTGGCAACGGCGGGAGAGCAGGTGCTCCCCTAACCACTCTTAGCCGGAGTCTGTCCCTGGCCTATCTTCCAGCTGTTCTTCTCACAGATACCTGTAGCAGGTCACATGGAAAATCTGAGGAAGCCAGGCAACGCAGCTCTCCAAAGAGGAAACAACAGTCTAGTGCTCTGGCTTGGGGCAAAGCTGTCAGCCTCACAATGCAGTATTTTCAGCGAATATTAACACAGGTTTATACAGCTTTTGGTGTTTTCATCTTGAAATTGTCATCTTGTTACTTTCTAAACAACGCTCTAAGATACACAGGTTTGCAGCTCCGGTAGAAAGAGTTTTGCAAAGGAAAAGGTTTCCTCCACTGGCCGGTGTTTAATTCTAGAAATTCCCATCTCATAGCCGCACAACACGACATCACAACATAAAAACAATAAACCCTTGAGACAGTCACCGTGGAGAACAGAAGAGAAAGGCGCCCGGAGCCGAGAGGGTCCGGCGCGGGCAGCCTCCGTGACGTCACGCGCACACGCGCGGCTCCAGCAGTCGGCTCAGGCCTCCCGCCCCGCCATTGGCGCGCTCCCTGTCAGCCGACATCAGAACATGCTCCGGATTGGCCAGACAGTTCCAAGCGCGCAGCCGCGAGCGTACGGATCAGATCGGATCCGATCGGCCCGTCCGGCCGCGCGCCGGAGCCGCCCCCCCCCGCCCCGCCCCGCCCCGCGCCTAGCCAGCAGCGCTCACGCCTGGAGTCAGGTAAAAGCGCATGGCGTCGGGAGCCGACCTGGGACTCCGGCTGCCGGGCGCCACCCACCCCGCCTGGCCCGGACGCGTCCGCAGCTCCGGAACGGTCCCTAACCCGCGCCCCTCGCCCTCCAGTCTGGCACAGGAGGAGACTAGCTGCGCGACAGGGGCGTTGCACGCCTAGGCCGGACTCAGGCTCCGTCACCGCAGACCCCGGTGCACGCGGACGAGCGGCGCGGGCTAGGTGCACACAAACACGCCCCGGGTCTCCTGCAGCCTGCGCAGCTGGCTCCATAGGAGAGACCTGTTGGAGGCTGCGCGTGTGAGGTTCTCAGACTGCTACAAATAAATTCTCAGAAAAGCAGATGCCCATGGCTTCCCCCGGAGTCCGTAACTGATTCCCTAAGCCTCTCCGCTCCCCGGCCCGAGGGAGACGGGCCGGGACCTTCACTTCCATTCACACCTGGCTCCGGGTGGAGGGCGGAAGGGGGAAGCGGCAGAGGGTCCGGAAGAGCCCGCGGAAGGCAGAGCAGCGGCTTCCCAGAACAACGTGCACCTACAGAAGAACTCGGTCAAAAGCCAGGGCAACAGGGAGCGATTCACGCGCAGCGCGGGAGGCCAGGCGCGTCACCCGCGGGCCTGGCACTGATGGGCAGACTGGCACCAGGCGCCCGGCCCCAAACGCTCTGCGGGGCTGCGCCCCAAGGACCTGCGCTCCGAGGCGCGGGGCGCGCGGGGTCTCCACGCGCAGGTCTAACGCCCGGGAAGACGGCGCCGCGCACACTGCCTTCTGCGGGCCCACGAGGCCCAGGGCCGCCGGCTCAGCCAGGCCAGAAGATGCCGCGGGCAGCGGCTCGGAGACGAGGCAACCAGCGGCCGGAGGCGGAGCACGGGGGGCGCGCGGGCGGCAGGGCGGGGAGCCGCTCCGGAAAGGAGGGCGGCCCGGGCACCGCTGCCGCGCTCGGAGCGGCTGCTCCCCAAGGCCGCAGCCTCTCCACTCCGGCCCCCGGCCCACCCGCCCGCCCGGCGCGCTCCCGGGTCCCCAGCAGGTCTGCCCGGCTGCGCCCCCCCCCCCCCGGGGCCCTGGCTGGGTACCCGCGAGCGCGCCTCGGGACGCCGGGCGCCGCCTCCAGGGGCAGGGACACAGGCCCGCAGCCCCTCCCGAACCTCCCTCAAGCCCGGGGCGCCGGCCCGGCCCTGCTCGGGAAGGCCGGGGCTGCTCTTATGCGGGCTACGGGAAGGAGCTGGAGCCGCACACCACCCGGGGACCCGCGCGGGGCCGGGGGCGCGGCCCGCTGCAGCCCCCGGTGACGAGTTGTTCTAGGGGCTCCCAGCGAGTGCGCCCGGCCTGGCCGGCGCGGAAGGAGAAGCGCACGTCCCATTCACCTCCGTAAAGCAAACTTAATCATGGCGCGGCTCTCTGGGGTTCATTCATTTTTCTCCCAGGCTCCACGGCCCGTCCTCCTCGCGGGGCGGCCAGAGGGTGCGGGACAGGGCTCCGGAGAGGCGCCCCGGAGCCCAGGGCTTCGGGGGAAAAAAGGGCGCTGCGGAGGCCGGGCGAGGGGTGGCTCCGGGTGCCGGGCGAGGGGCGGCCCCGGGTGCCCGGACCGAGGCATCCGCGCCCCACTGGCCGGGCGCGCACCAGCCCCCGTTACGTAAGCCGGGACCCCGGGACCCTCGCCCCGCGCCATCCGCGCCGCACCCGGTCCGCGGGTACCGCCTCACCAGTTCTCCTGCATCCACCGGATGGCCTCATTCTCGTTGAACTGCTTCTCGAACTCGTACTCCTGCAGCGCCAACCCTGACATGTTCATCGGGCCGCCTCGGAGTCGCCGCGCGCTCCCTGCACAGAACAGAACTGGCGGTGAGCTCTGAGTGGTGAGCGCTGCCGGCCGGCCGGCGTCCCGCCCCGCCGCGCCCCCGGCGCCCACCAGCAGGTAGGTGAAGGTGCACACGATGAGCGCCAATGTGCGCACATTCTGCCGCTTCATCGTCCCCCGCCGGCGCCCCCGGCCCCGGCCCCGGCCCCGGCCCCGGCCTGCCTCAGCCGCGCCCGGCCGGGCTCCTCCGCTCCGCTCGCTCCTCCGCTCCCGGCGTCCGCGTCCCCCGGAGTGCGGCGCACGCCTGGCGGTCTCGGCGCCGCACACCGCCCATCACGCTTTGTACCCGCGCGGGAGTCTCCTCCCCTCGTGCGATCCGAATTAACCCTTCCGCGCGCGCAGGAGGTGCCGGGCCGGCGGGGCGGGCTGTGCCCCGATCGGTCCGCGCCCCCCCCCCACCTCGCACCCGACGCAGTTTCGGTTCGCGAGACCGCAAACAATTGGGAAAGCGCAGCCAGCCCTCCCGCCCGGCCTGCACGTGGCCCTCGCCCCCCGCCCCCCACTCACGTGGAGCGGGGTCCAGGCCCGACCTATGTGACCGACCGCGCTCAGGGCGCCGAGTCTGAGCGCTCGATCCGGAAGTGGAAGGCAAGCGGGGCGGGGGCGCGGCCTGCGAGGGGAAGGGGTGAGGACCACGCAGACAAAGGCACGCGGTCGGGCTCGGAACCGGATGGACTGGCCCCGGGAGCAGAGCTGCGGTGCGCGAGCAGACCCGGGCTTGGCGCTGCCGGCCGGAGCCCGCGGGTGTGTGCAGGGGCCCAGGGTGATGCTGACCCCTCGAACCCCAGCACCGCCACAAGGTCATTTCCACCTGAGCCTCCTACCCTCTTCTCCTGCACGGAACAGTGCTTTCTGCTCTGCTCCCCCAAGAGCTAGGAGAAAGGAGATAGTGACTAAGGTGTTTGATAGCCCAGTGTTTGGGTGTCATTGTAAATTTTAAAAAGTAATAATCAGCGACCTGTGCTTGTAAAATTAAGTGCAGTGGCTGAGGAGGACGTGCCTTGGGGCCTAGCGGTTGCCTAGCATGCTCAAGGCACTGGATTCAATCCTACAGACCACACATAATGCTAATCATTATAAAAATAAGTAAAATAAAATTAGGTGCACATTAGACGTGAGAACCAGGAAGAAAATTACCTCTCTCTGCCTGCGTTTCCCCACCTGCCCAGGAGTCAGAAGAGAAGAGGGGGTTTCGTTCAGACTGGGTGACCTGGCCTCTCAGAGTGGGGACAGAGGGAAATATTTCCCTGAAGAAGGAAAGTAGTGTAAGTTAGAGAGTTAAAAGAAACACAGTGCAACATGACATAAATCAGGGCTCGAGTGGTTGGTAATTAGCAAATTAACTCCCAAAAATTCCAGAGAATTGCTCGCCCAAGGAGGGGTTGCCTTCCGGAAACTTCCCTGACAAGGCGAGACCTCAAAGGTGCCAGCCCAACACATCTGGCAAAATTCCCTGTGGCCAGAGGAAGGTTTCAGCCCAATGCTTTGTCCTATTAGGGATGCCAATAATTGTAAAGTGAACGAGTGCTTGTTTAAACAAACAAGAGCGCTGGGGAAGTGAGTTGAGAAGACAGCCCAGGACAGGTCCCCTGGACAGTGCAAGGATGGTCCTTGTAGTGTGAGAGAGTCACATGTGGTTACTGTGTTTCCTAGTCAAAGGATGTCTGCTAATGCCTGCTTGTTTTCTCAAGGTGGGTTTAGGGTTATGTCAAAAGCAAATGTCACCAAGTATGGTGACACACATCTATAATCCCAGCATGTGGGAGGCTGAGGCGAGAGAATCACCATGAGTACCAGTGAGTTCAAGCCCAGTCTAAACTACACAGCAAGACCCTTAAAAAAACAACAAAAAAGGAAAATAGATTTCAAAACCCTGTGTGGTGGTGCACACCAATAATCCCAGCACTCTGAAGGCTGAGGCAGGAGGGTCATCATGAGTTCAAGGCCAGCTTGAACCACATAGTGAGACCCTGCCTCGAATGAATAAAGAAATGAGTAAATAAACACATAGGCAGACTTTCTGGTTTGGTCTTATCTACCTGCAAGGAGAAATTGCTCCAGAATGCTAGGTAAGTCCCTTTTTCTTGACCCATACGGAGATCAGTTAGAAGAAATGACATTTGCTTTTTCCCAGAAGCTTCTAGGCCCAGAAGGCCATGCAGAGCACTGACAGCTGGTCACTGGAGAGTGCTGGCAGCTGGTGTGGTCATTTAAGTGGACGACACCGTGGGCACAGCAGGGGCAGGATTCCTGCAGGCTGGAAGCCCACTTTGCAGAGGGAAGAGAGATCATTAAAATTACATCAAGCCTTGAAACCTAGGAATGTTCTTGGCAGGCTCAGCAGGCTGAGAAAGTGACTGAGCGGGCAGCTCAGTGACACTGAGCTGAGCACCTCTCACAGAAGAAAGCAAGTGCAAAGGCCCTGGGGTAAGTGAAGGTTTGCAGGGGACAGAGAGTTGGCATGGTCCCAGGTCATGAGCCAGGAGTAACTGGTAGGTAATTAGGCTGAAGAGATGGAAATGGATCATCTTGGTCCCAGGTAAACAAGAGAAGGTCTTTGGATTTTATTCTAATTGCAGTGCAGAGAATGTGGGGATCAAAGGGGATTATGATAAAGACTTGCGATAAGATTCACTGCTAGGAATTTACTCTGTGGTCCCACTCACAAAAGCATTCTAGATACAATATATGTGGAACATACTCAGTACCGTCTGTAGTAACAAAACACTGCAATTGGGCCGGGGATTTAGCTCAGTGGTTTCGCTGCCTGCTGCGCAACCGCAAGGTCCCGAGTTCAGTCCCCGGTACTGAAACAAAACAAAACAAAAAAAAACACCGCAAGAAGAGCCAGAGCTTGATAATGGAATATTACTTCATTTTTAAAATGGTTCTGTAGGTTGCAGTATCAGGAGTTTCCTGATATATGTTTAAAGAAAATTTGAAAAGCAAGGTGCAAGACATGGCATGTAGTGTTCCCTCAGGAAAAACATCTACATTGTACTTTTTATTTCCTGAAAAGACAAGGTTGTGTTGGTGATGGGTATATTTGGGGAAAGATGGGGCAGCAGGCTAAGGGGAGTTTCTGACTAGCTATTCACACTGTTTACTTCTCTGCAGTGTTTGAGTTTTCTTACCATGAATTTACATTTCACTTTTTAAAAGTCAATAGCAGTTAGCTGAGCAGTGCGATTGCAGGTCACTTCTCAACTTAAAATTTCCTGGATTTAAAAGTAAATGTAGCCTACTAATAGAAGTAAAACATTTAAAGTAGTGATCTTTCTAAACTTATTTTATTTTAATTGCAAGACACACACTAAGGTTAGTGAAGATGGAAGGGAATATGAGGGAAGAGATCAGCCACTCCAGGAAGAATTTTTATGAGAAGATTTATTGTGCGTGTGTGCATGTGTGTGTTTCTATAGCTAATATTGAATATAAATAGCCAGATTAACTCATGTTTAGTTGTAAAAGTTTTGAAATGTAAGCCATAGAAGGAGCATTTTGAAAGACAGATTTACTACGAAGATGACTACTGACCAAAAATTCTACATTTTCATCTTGCCTAGCTATTGACCTTAGGGAAAGTAAATTAATCTTTTAATTTCATTTCTGTGTGTAAAGTAACAGTGATCAGTGACGGCGTGATCTTCACCCCGGCTCCAATGCCTTTAGCGTGCGAATCTACACACACGCCGGTTTCAGGGCCTTCTCAGCCTCTCCTCAGGCTGAATCTTTTTTTGTTGTTTTTTTTTGGGGGTGGGGTTGGTACCGGGGATCGAACTCAGGTCCTTGTGCTTGCGCAGCAGGCAGTGAAACCACTGAGCTAAATCCCCGGCCCCTCAGGCTGAATGTTAAGCTTTGCCCCTGGCTGCTGCTCCTGGCTGGTACTCTCTGCTTTCCAAGCCCAGCTCCTGCCAGTTCACTCTCTGGGTGCCAATAAAGCTGCTTGGGGCTCCAAGTCTGTGCTGTTCACAAAATCTCCATCTGAGTTTCTAGGCTGAAAGTCCTGTTTCCACACCTCCTGTCGGCCTTAGTTCAGCTGCAGGGCTCTTAGCTCATCCTGATTACAAATTCCCTCAAGCACAGGGACACTGGCTTGCTGATTGTGTGAGTCTGCTAGGGCTGCCATGACAAATTACACTAAAACAACAACAGAGTTTCTGCAGAGACCCCCGAGTTTCACTGAGAGCTAGCAGTGGATATGGCACGTGCATGCCATGGTAAACCATGGGTGTATTCGGAGACAGGTTTTAAAGGTAAAGTGAAAAGGTTTCCATGAATTTTGAAACAACCATCTTTGGTTTTGAGGAACATTAGCAAGGGTGGCCTCCTGAGGTTGGACAGGACAGACAATACAGGCACACGTTTTGTGTAAGGTTGCTTTTGACAGGATTTCTTGTCCCGGATCTCATTAGCTGACATCGGTGCATGAAGTCCCTCCTTTGGAAATTTCCTGGCTTTGTGTATTTTGGTAAGCTATGACAGAAGTGCCTTCGTTGTGATACTGATAACTTCCACACCATAATGTTGACAACTTAAAAGTGATAAAGGATTTCTTATCTCATCATTCTAGAGGTTACAAGTCTGAGATCCAGGTGTCGGTAGCTATAGTGCCTTTCCCTTTCTCTCTCTTTCTCTTTCTCTCTTTCTTTCTCTCTTTCTTGGCAGGGTCTCTCTGTGCAGTTCAGGCTGGCCTTATACTCACTGTGTAGCCCAGGCTGGCCTCGAACTGAAGTGTTGGGATCACAGGCGTGCACCCCTACCCCAGCACAGCCGTGGCTTCTTCCAGAGGCTCTTCTGGCAATATCTACCTTTCCTTGGCTTGTAGACAAATGACGCCACCCTGTCCCCATGCCCACATCACTTGTTTCTCAGTGTGTCTGTGTTCCCTTCTTCCATCTCTGACAAGCTCATTCTCACTGGAGTGAGGGTTCGCCCTAGTCTAGAACTGTCTCACCTCAACCCTTACTTTAGTGACATGAGCAAGAACCCTTATTCCAAACACGGTCACATTCCGGGGTTCCAGGTGGGTGTGAAGTTTTCTGGGGAAAACTGAGCCCAGTGGACTGATGATGGTTCCTCGGCTGACTTCCTTTAGCGTCACTCCTGTGGAGATGTTCTGCTATCTCGTAGAGCAGAAGCAGACGCACACTGAAGTTAAGCAGTCTGCCCCCAAAACTCTCAGCTCTTCAGTGGTGCAGTCAGAGCTGAACTTAGATGCATTAGACTCGTGTTCCTAACCACTGTACTTGACTCCCTTCCTCCCAGCTGTCCAGAGACAATTTCTTACCTTTAGACCATGGAACAGAGGATCCAATTAACATTGTACACCGTTTTTCCTCTCCATCCCCTCCTCTCAGC